ATCTTCATTAAGATCATCCATAGTTATTAAGACCCTTAACATTAAACATTTATCAAATGTTTAAATTCTGGTGGAGTAACTATACTCAATTATAGGATTTTTTTGTTATTATGAATTGAAACCTTTACTGTAACTATTTCTTTCCGTAGTCCTCACCAGAATGCAAATAAGTTGTTTGTTTATTTAAGATGAGAGTTTGAATGTTCAGAGCTTCTGGAAGTCCCATCTTGCTGTTACTATAGCCCAGCTCAACATAAGTTTATTTTCAGCTACAGCACCTAGCTAGCCAGCATTTAAAATGTATGCTGTAATTGTCATATCCAGCTTATGTAGTTTATTTTGTGTTGTAGTCTCAGACTACATTACTTGCATTTGAAATCAACATTATGGCATGTTAATTCCTGCAAATAGCAAAGGTTCATCTGTTGCAAAAACAGTGTCTCACGATAATTTAAATTCCTGCAAGAATCAGAGGTTTACCTATCACAAAAGCAGTGCCATTGTGTTCATTTATGAGTTAAAAAGGTTATTTTATACTTTTGGTTCTTTGTTCCAGACAAAAGGGATAACTCACTTCCACTCTAGTAGGGTTTGCAAGACTTTGACATAAGCTTATAGATACAGCACTACAGTACAAAATTTTATCTTTTAACCTTTTAACTGTCATGCCCGAGATAATCTCGGGTACAGCACCGGTGTTCGAAAATGTCACGCCCGAGTATTACTCGGGGTAAATTTTTTTTTGAGTGCATCGTATTGTTATACCCGAATATATATCGGGAGACGTTTATTTCGGCTTCATCTTTTTGTCAAACCCGACTGTATCTCAGGAAAAATTTGACAATTTGTGTACCCAAATCATCAAAATAACTTGACAGTTAAAGGGTTAAAACAAACCTAATTAAAATAGAGCCCACTGTGCAACAAATCACAGAGATTCCAGCATCTTGATGCACGTCAGCCACTGTTTTCCAAAACACAAATTTTTGAAAGGGTGCTCCAGCATTAAGTGCCAGCACTCTTATGCAGATCAATTTTTAACATGAAGAGAGTGGTCTACGTGAAGGTATTGGTACCTTTACGCCTGGATTTTGCAATACAAATATGGTTTTAGTTTGGCACTTTAATCAATAAAGCAAATGAATATCTTAGCAAGATAGTGCATTAACATTAAGTGACAGCATCTTTCAAGTTACACAATGATGTTCATAAGGATTCAACCACCTTTATGCATAAGCACCCTGATGTAAGTTCCTATTTGGGTGAATAGTAGGTGATTGCATAAACATACTAGCCCTTCTAAAACAGAACACCATTATGAGAATTTACACCATCAGCGGAGTGGTAAAGTTGTTGAACACTAGTCGTTTAGTTCAGGGTTTCAATCACAGCGAAATGGGCTGGCTGCTTGAGCCTTTTCCCATATACAATGTTTATATCAGACAGTTTTCCTTAGGAAGTCCCCTATGAAAGCAGACCTTAAAAGTCTCCCCTCAGGCAGATAGTCCTCATGCGCTTTGCCATAATCAAATGAACTGAAACTGAACCATTATGAGAACATCCTTTTACTACAATGCAAGTCTGTCCATTAAATTTTTAAATTTAAAAAACTTTTTCCCTTTTAAAGTTCACTTGCAGATTATTTATTACAATACACAAAAAAATTCACTTGTGAGCTCTGACACAAACTTTCCCAGCAACGTTTAACTGTATAGTTATTATCAACAATAAGTTACCCTATTCTAGTTTGCATATACACTTTACATAATGTTCTTGCACAATTTCTAAGACAATTTAGAATATTTTTTTATAAATTGACCAATTTCTTAACCCGCAACTGGGGAGATGTAATCTGACAGGCCTCTAATGTTGGTTTTCCTATCACCCCTATTCTATTCTTAACTCAATAATGGATTCACCCTGTATATTCCCCTTTAGTGACCCTGACTGGATGAGACAATTTTCTTGAAATTTTGGCATCTGCTTTTTTATATATTCCAGCCATACAGTGTTCTGATTATGTGCAAACCTTAGAGAAGAGCAGTGAAACTTGGCCCTCGGAATGTGATGCAATCTTCCGATCCGTGTTACAAGGCAGAACTTCAAAGGCTTCTAAAATAAGGTAGGAAGTGATTTTAGTGATGAAGATAATTATTCAGAGGAATTTTTCAGAAAAGTTCTCGTTCGATTAATTCTAAATTATCAATCACATTCTTGTAATTCAGAACTAGTAAAAAATAAATGTGAACCATTTTAGATAATTGTTCGGAGGAATTTTTGATAAAAGTTCACATTTGACCATTTCTAAATTATCAGAATATATTCATATTTTGGTAATTCAGAGCTAGTCAAAAATTCCCATGAACCATTCTGAAAATAGTTTACATTCAACACCATTTTCATGTAACGAATATTGTGGAAAAACGTTTTAAATTGCCATCTGTTGAACCAAAATAAACTATTAGAACTCCTACTATAATGTCACACAGCTTCCAGGATTGCTTTAATACAGTCAATTAGGACGTAAAGGAATCCTGAAAACTGTTTAGAACTTATCTTTATAGAAGAAATACTTGACAATATTGCAAAATAGACAAATGTAAAAATCAAGAACATAAGAAAATTTCCTAAATAAGAGGAATAAAAAAAAAAAAAAAAAAAAAAAAAAAAAAAAAAAACCTAAGAATAAATCAAAGATTATGTGTGACAGTAAAACAAATTTTAGGAAGTGATGCAGAGGTACAGGAGATAAAAGCCCAGAAGGAAACAAACTGGAAATGAGGAAAGCATGCCATTTACGCCCATTAAAAAGGGGGGATGAAAAACTGCATAATTATACATGTATTGTAGAAAACCTTTATGTTTAGGAATGTGCTCATAAATTATGCTTTCAATGTTCATAAAAATCGGAACTGAAACAGTTCCATGCAAAAACAGTTCAAATTTACTTGCCATCAATTTTCAAAATTTGTTTACATAAAGATTATTTATATTCAGTTACTTTTATCATATATTTTTAAAAGAGGAAAACAAATATAATTAAAAAAATAACTAATTAAAAATTTTTCAGAATAATACTGTGCAAACTATATTTTGACAAAAACCGTATGCTATGAAATAAATCTTTTTTCAGGTTGATAATATATTTAGTAAACTTTTAAAATTATTTTTTTATATGAAGAAAACTTTTTACAGAATATATAAGCAAAATTTCCTACTGTTATATTTATTAAAAAATTTTATTTTACTTTAAATTGTATAGGTCTCCTAGAACGCACCTCTCTATTTATGTCAAATACAAGATATGACACACACACACACAAAAAAAAAGACTGGTCCAATAAATCATTGTGCTTATAGAATCAGTTCTGCGTAACATTATCACCTTCAAAATAGTTCCCTTCAGCATTCACACACTTCTGCATTCGGCGCTGCCATTGCTGGTAACAGTTCTCGAACGAGGTTTTCGGAAGGCCCTTCAGGAGATTTTCCATTTTTGAATAAAACTCTGCAGCAGAGGTAAAATGGGTTCCCTTTAAGTAAGGATTTACTTTAGGAAATAAAAAAAGTCACATGGAGCCAAATCAGGTGAATAAGGAGGATGCCACATCACAGTAATGTTTTACCTGGTCAGAAACTGCTTGATAGATAGGGCCATGTGAGCGGCTGCTTTGTCCTAGTGCAACAGCCATCCATCACTCCACAACTGTGGCCTTTATTTTCCTAATTTTTTCACGAAGTCTTTTTAGCATTTCAATGTAGTAGTGTTGATTAACAGTCTTGGCACCCAGCATGTTCCTCATCTTCCACGCCGTCCCTTCCCCTTGAAAACTGCTTCTGCCATTCAAACACACGTGCATGAGACAATGTTTCATTTCCATCAGCCTTGCTTAACATTTGAAATGTTTCCTCTGCGGCTGATTTCTAAAGTTTCACAAGAAACTTGTTGATTCGCTCTTCGGTTTTTACATTAGACATTTCTCCCCACTGGCGTGGTCGGTTAAGTAGAAACTCGGTGCAAGGATAGAGGAGGTGTATGGCATCATTTCACCAAAACAGTTATGGCCAACTCCACTTTGTTTCTAGCTACACACTTAGTCTCATTTTTTTTCCGTCGCATCTCGGATATTACCTTGCCAGTTAAGGGTTAAGTCTATAGCCTTTTACTGCCCTCCATATACTTAATAAACATAAAATGCATACTAAAATTAAACACAGCAGAAAAAGAACTGCTACTTTACATAAATGGAAGAATTGGTTATAACTCATATTTATACACATAATTCTTTTTAACTTTTTACACCCTTCGCTGCAATACTACTAAAATATAATACAAGTTTAAAACATAAGCAATTAAAATGAACAAATTTACATCATAGTATTACACTACAGAACAGCACCCAGTGAGAGTTATTTGTATTTTCCTGCTTAACTAATCTGAAGCACAGGCAATGTAATGTATTCAGCTCAATGCTTTGCTTCTCAACTACTTCTCTTGCAAAGACATGAGTCTCTTTCTACAGCAAAAACAGACAGTGACATTAACATGGCATATTAGACTATCACAGAGGAAGTGCTAACAGAGGCTTGGGGGGGGGTCTGCTAACAACAGGCACAATGATGAGATTGAAAGCAATGAAATTATAGTTAAACAAAGAAAGAAAGGGAAATTCCTAAAACAACTTGGGAACACGTACTGAATAATTATACACATGCTAAATAATTATGAACTTTTGAGAATCTTTTATCTGAAGTATTTGGCATTTTAATAAATGATCAACATACCTAATAATTTTCACAGTGGTAAATGTAAATTTAAGCCCCAATCAACCAGGCTTTACAATAAAATTTAATACTTCCCATTTATGACCTAAATCTAAACAATAAAAATGCAAAAATATATTACCTTAGAGCGTATCAGACTTAACCATTTCGTCTAAAAATTAAAGAAATAATTAAATATAAAATTATAAATTACACAATGAAGAAAAAATACATACCTGTCACACTCTGATTAGAAAGCCACTTAGACCACCATCCACCAGTTTCTTGTGATGAATGTAGGAGAAAATGACCAATCATAACAGCTGTTTGACCTCTAATATGAGGGTCACAATGAGTTGCATATAAAATTACATCCCAGATATATTGCTCCTCTATTGGAAAAGGCAGCAAATACATCATTTTTTCAAAATAGTTATTATAATAACAAATACACAAATGTAGCAATGACATGAAGTTCACTTAAATCAGTAAAAAATCAATCATTTAAAAAAAATCAAGTGAGAAATAAAAAATAAGAAACAGCACACTGATCAGAAAAATTAATGCAGCAATTATAAAAATGCATGTAACTTGAAGAGTTTTACAGCTAAGAACATGGAATTTACAGAAGATGTTTATTTTGTCATGTCTTTAAAAAAATTAATTTTAATAAAACATAGGCAATGAGATATAAAGTGGGAAAGTGTAAAGTTAGTGTTGCTACTGTTTGAAGACACATAAAAAAAATTAATACAGCCTATGATCAACTCTGATCAAAATACACACATCACATTTCCATGCTCTGTGTTGCAGAGTTGAGAAATTCTTGCAGTAAATTGTACAGCAAGTTTATGCTTGATTAATAGTGCCTTGTAGCTTCCGAAAAGTACTAGGTGGAGGCTGCAGTGATACAAAATCGTGTTTTAGTGCATCCCACAAGTTTTATAAGATTTATATCCTGAGAAAATGTGAGCTCCTCCATCTGCTATATTCTCTTGCTTTAAAGATAACTGGTTACTAACCCAGAATGGCTGGGAAAGCATTCCAGTCCATAAAGAGGATGTTATTACCAACTGTACCAATGCAACTAATGATCTGATCTGATCTGATCTTCTTGTCTGTAGACATCACCAGTGTCTTTAAACCATTTTTAGATATTTGATATGAGGTTTTTGGCTACTTTTGGGTCTTTACAGACCTGTGCTTCTATTTTCTCAATTACAAGTTATTTCTCACAATTTGCAAACTGCAAATACTCAATATGTTCCACTTTCCACATGTAACTACATTATCCAACTACTCATGCATTAATTAAGGCTAGAATTTGAAGCAAATCCTTGCATTTCTTAACACTGATCTTGAGCCATTAACAAACTATCTTTCATGGGACTTCACTTGATAGTCCATTGAAACTTTGCAAATTACAAATACTATAATTTTTTTAATGAAGATTTATCAAATCTATTAAAAAATTTCCAACTAAGTAACTGATTCTACCTATAAAACACAAACAAGAATTAACATACTGACAACAATCAGTACAAAATAATATAAAAAATAAAATAAATTTGTAGCAATTTCAGAAGGGGGAATTCAGAAGCACACTGGTTCTCAAACTGTGGTACATGTACCACTGGTGGTACATTACAATATTTTTAATGGTACAGTTTAAAAAATTTAATGAATGTTCAAAATGAACATAAAATTGTGCCCCTTTTAACATTTTGTTTTAATCTTCATTATTCAGAAAACACATATAGTTTTCAAGTTTTTAACTTTTACAACTCTAGCTTTTGCTATATTGAAATGACGATTTTTCCAAGAGCTTCAAACAATTTCCCGATGTTACCATTTCAAAGAATCGTAGCAGCACTCCAGTATACTCACTGTATACTTATTTATACTTAATAACCTCATAGAACAAGATACATGTACGAAACCTGCAATGTGGTCTTTGCATGTACCAAAACGACAAAACATGCTTTCAATAGCATCACAAAAAAATTTGTTCTTTCACATTTCAAAAAAACACTCAGTTTTTTTTCCCAATCCTTACTTACCGAGTTTTTTAATCCATTTATCCAAACATCCTTATTATGTAGGTTCATATGTTTTCACTGCTAGAAAAATTGCATAAATGTTTTTTTCTTAATTTTTTCGGACGAATTTACTTCGTAAAATAATGTACAAATTTTATATATAATGAAATTGTTACATACATTTGTTTTTAAATTTACAAATTCCATCATTTATTGGAAATGCGCATGGAAAAAGGGAAGTTTTCCCCCTACTACATCAGTAAGTTTCAAAGTCCTAGACACGCGCTGTTTTCACAGTGCGACCATCACCCACAGATCAATGGGCAAGAGTAGATTTTTTTAAATTCATAAATCATTTGTGTCTAGGATCATAATATTCAATTTCTAGAGATTTTAGTTTTAAAAAATTATAAAAGTAATATCGTCGCATCAAAGGGTTAAATATGTTTATGAAAGAGCTATACTAAAATGTCCTAAATCCAGACATCCAATATCCAGACCTTCAGCCAACCAGCAATTTTTTGTAAAGAATTTTTATCTATTACAATGCTTAAGAATCGAAACATAAGCTGTAGTGCCTCAGAAGAAAATCCCAAAGTGAATCATCTGTTGTCCACTGAAAGTAGATCATCAAAACTACAAAAGATGGAATAGTCTTTTGGGCTAAATATATATTGGTCTGCAAGTGGTTACAAGATATGTCCTTTTGTTAAAAGCCAACTCTGGACAGCAGTATTAGATTCTCTCAATGGATTTTTTTATCCAGGTATAACAACTGAACAAAAGACTGATTCTTTCTTGTTTTGTTTGGCCTTTTGTCTTAAAGGATTGTGTTACATGGACTAGTGCTTACATCAACAGCCAGAAGTCCAAAGTTAAATGTCAGACTCATAGTCCATTGCAGTCCAGTCGGATACTCTTACCTTTTTAAACCTCACTGACCAATTCTCCCAGTGGCCGGAAGCAATATCAATGAAAGATATTTCAGCAGAAACTGTCACTCAAATGGTTTTCACCCACTGGATTGCCAAGTTTGGAGTTCCCATCATCATCCCATCGTAACTAAAATTGTTGGCCCTGATCAATTTGAGTTATGCATGCTCATTACTCTTAATAAATTTCTTGGTGTTCACCAAACCTGTACTAATTCCATACTACCATGCAGTGAATGGATTACTTGAGAGATTTCACTGTTCACTAAAACAGGCATTGATTTTTCATAATAACGTCCAATGGATGGTGAGTCTTCCAACTGTACTTCATGATCTTTGATCAACATACAAAGATCTGACTGGAACCTGATCAGAGATGGTCTACGGAACTACCATTCAACTTCTCGCAGAGATTTTGCAACCCACCCAGGTTTCAAATTCTACTGACCCGATTTCATTTGTACAGAAATCGTACGAGGCAATGAAAGAAATGTCACCAGTACCCACATCAGCTCAAATTAACAATAAGTATTTTGAGCACCCTGCTTTTTAGTCATGCACTCATGTGCTTGTGAGGCATGATACACTGAAACCACTACTTACTCGACCGTATGATGACCCATTTAAAGTAAGAAAAAAGTTTAATAAAGATTTTACATTTCTCATTAAGGGAAAGGAATCAGTGAATGGCGCTGATCGCCTGAAACCAACATTTTTAGTTTCAGAAATTCCAGTATATCACATTCCGTTCCTGAGCAGACTCTTACAATAATTCTTTCGGGCACCATAATTGATAGCTGTGCCAGACAACCAAACACCACTAGTGTATACTACTTGTTCTGGCAGAATGCTCAAGTTTAACCCAACATATCTCTGAAACCTTGAGGCTCTGGCATGTGGAGGAGGGAGTACTATGGCAGAAATACTCATTGCAGTGAGTGGCAGCATTCATCTTTGCTGTGCAATATGCATATGTTCTCGCCACAGCATGAGAATAAAAACTTAAACTTTTTAATTTTTTTTTTTTCTGAGACTTACTACTTACTTCTCATCTTTTTTTCCTTGTTTGTGGCAGAAGTCAGACATTGGCTCATGTTTGAATATTCAGCCTTTTGCAAGATGTGTTTTCCACTTTTTTAAATGCTAAATAAAATACGTTTTAAATATTGGCTGAAGTTTTATGATTCTCAGGCCTTTCTAATGATCTTCTGATTGAGTCTAACGCAATACAATTTACCATATATATATGCTACAAAAATATTTAAGTGTTAATAGAGCAGTTATATTGCACTGGTTGAAATATTCATGTTAATATTAAATCCAAAATTTAACACCGAAGTTTTCATAGTAAAGATTAAAAGCTTTCTTGATACAATGAGGTTATCATACAGCTGAGAGTTTCAGAAAAGATTTATGAGGTTCCAAACTATACATGGTACTAGTGGCATTTCCTTTCAAATATACACCCCAATCTGTAAAAATTGCATATTACGAGATTAAAACACTGAAGGATTTTTCAATTTCATGACACTAATATAGTCTACTTAAACACATTCTGCTTGATCAAATACATGCTGACAGCTTCCACTTCATTTCAGCAAATTTACTTCATCAAACATCTTCATCAAAGCATACAAAAGCCTATAAATTCTTCCTCATTTTTCCTTATATCATACTTTATAAGAGCTATGAATTTAGTAACTTAGATTTATTCATCTATTACTAAATCTACTTAAAAAGAAACCTGAAATACTAATGTTACAGTTTAATATGGGACTAAGTAATAAAAAAAAAAAAAAGGTTGAATTGAAAATTTTATCAACTGATGTGGAAAAATCAAGAAAGTATTACATTACAACACCACTTGTGGCCAAGCAGTAAAAGCTGCTGAACACTGGTCGTTTGCTCGGGGATTCATGTTTGGCAAATGGACTAGCTGCATGGCCATTTTCATTGTTTTTGCCATATCTAATTTGGATATAAGTCAGTTTTTCTTAGTCATCCACTGGGCATCCCTACCTTTCCATGCAGTGTCTAATGGCAGGGCACATAATGAATGAAAAACACTTCTCGCACAGCAACATACACCACTGTGAATGACCACAAACATGTACAAAAATACATCTTGAGAGGCAGGTCTCCACAAACTAGCCAGCACAAGCAGCTAATATTCAGCACTGCAAGTCATAAGAATGACTCATAGCTATCATATTGTACTAAAAACAACCAGCCAAGGCAAGCCATTTGAAGGCTTTTTCACATAGATAGTAATTAATAGCTATTCTTCAATATCACAGGATGCTCTCAGATATGGAAATACAACAGAAATCTCTCATGGTAAAATAAAATCAGAATTCACTACTGCAGAACTTGCACATGCACTCAAATCTGTACACTACTTCTCGATATCTAAAATGCTCA